CTTAGAAAGCATAAGTCTTATCACATGGAAATATATATATCGTTTGGCATATATATAACAATAAGAGGGTCACCAAACTTAATGCAATCACAAGGTTAAACAACCATTAGACTTTACCATTAGAAAAAAGGAGGTTCAGACAGTAAGCCAACAACCACCAAATATAGCAAGGAAAAGAGAAATGCAGAACTATACATGTTCTTAATACTTTATAGGAGAAGTAAAAGAACGATACGAGTAGAAAATGCAATTAAATATGACCTCAATGTCTTCACAACTTGCGTCCGACGGCATAATATTAACTGCAGGAGCATCTAAGCTAAGTATGTTATTTCTAGCAACGATTATATCATACACATTCAGCTAAGTCCAACAATTTATAAATCAATACAACCCTAAAACATCGTTTGACAATTCATCTTAGAACTTTTCCCTTCCAGACATCAAATCAAAATTTCATAAAACAGAGAGAGTACCCCATGCTATAAAAATGAAGAACAACAACAACAATGAAGCTTTGATTTCTTTCTTCTATTGCTCTCTCTCTTCCCTTCCTTTCTTCTGTTCTTGAATAATCAAACCTTCATCTTACCAATTTCAACTCTGATTCAGCTTCTTGCTGACTAAGTCTTCAATCATTAAAAGATTTGGAAACTACATGCATACATACATACATATAGTCAACCATTCAAGAGCCAATGTTGGAAACTAAGCCCTTTTATCATATGATCTACAGTGCACATGTCATTCTGCTAGAGCCAATGTTGAATTTTGTTTTCACGTCTCCTTTTTGGTCTCTAGAGAAATTGGACCCACTACCAGTAATGACACATGAGACACATGATAATCTATAAAGAGATGCCTCTTCAATCCAGTGTGCGAACTGTACTCACTTTGGCAAAACCCTATTCTCATATAATCACTTAACAAACTTTAATTTGATATATCATCACTTCGAAACTTGAAAGTACCAAGCTACCCTTCATATAAATAGATACTTATTGCCGACCCACTGATTGCCCTCACTCTTCTCTCTCCCGCGCAGCTCTCTCTCAGCGCTCTCTTCTTCTCTCAGCGCTATCGTCGCTCCATGACCACCACCACTCTCTTTCTCCCTCTGTCGCGAAAACCTAAGCATCACTCTCTCCATCACTGCAGTCGATGTTAGGGTTTGTTGAGGGGGTTCTTGAAGGCTAATCTCTGCGTCCCTCAGCTGCCGGCCAAGGCTGTTCCTTCCACAGCTTCCTCACCAATACCTACAAGCTTACTTTCATGGAATCCCCTTCTCGCATTGAGGTAGCTTTTTCAGTTTTCTACGTCTCTTTTTTTTTTTTTTTTACTTTCAGATCTTGAAATTAAGGGGGGTGTATTCAATTAGGATTTTAAAAGACTATTTTGGGATAAATAAATCTTGTGGTATTCAATTAAGACTTTTAAATAATCTAAACAAGTCTTGTGGTATTCAATAAGGATTTTTAAGATTTTTTAAAGAGGGTGTCCAAATCTAGTGGTATTCAATAAAGACTTTAAACAAGTAACAAAAAGTCTTTTGGTATTCAAAAACTTGCTAATTTCGAAGGATTTTTTTAAAGAAGGAATTTGTGTGACTTTTTAGTGGGAGGTATAAATACCAAACCCTAAAAAAAATCTCACTATAACCCGTCAGACTTTTCACGTGAGATTTTTTTCTCTCTGCGAGAGAAGATGAACAGTTCTTCATGAAATCGCAAAAGAAGTTAAATGGTGAAATCGATTCTCATACCGGCTCGAGGTAGATGTGTCCATGAACGTTGTCCAGAACATGCTTCATCGATCTCCGATCCCGATAGCTCCCATTGTTCGCAGTAGCTCTAATTGTTGGCTCACAACTGAACTTGGAACGCTGACAGATTGATAGAGATAAAGGGGTTTAGCAAATATTAATCGATTTCACCGATTACTATGTCAGAGGAAAGGCATAGTAATTTTGCACTACTCTAGCCGGTTGGAAAGACTATGCACCAACCACCTTTTGACCCCGGTTCTAGCTGAAGATATCTGTATCAGATAATGGTTTGTGTTTGCTTGGTTCAAGTCTATACATAAACCCTAACCCTAAACATTCAGAGACTACGTGAGCCCTTGTTTGGGCAGTACATAAACACAATTGGTAACAAATAAATAATTGCTTGATGTCTCGACTAAACAAGAAATTCTGTGTCAGTGAGCTCAAGAATCAAAGTCATATTGTTAATTTTGTTGTTGTAATTGGGCTAACAATATTTAAAAAAGTCTCACTGCCTGCAAGTAGGGGAGATTTCCAACATCTGATTCCTCAACTAGTCTACTACCAACAACCGTTTTTATCTACACCCTGAGCTTGTTGAATATGTCGGGATGGTTGATGAGCTCAGCTACTGCCCATTGCATGGCCTCTGCTGTGGTAGCAATACCTCCGATGAAAAGATCCTAACATAATGGTAAATTATGAATTGATCAGAAACAAGATGTGGTTTGAAAATGGAAAGGATTGAAATCGCTTACAAGCAAGAAAGACTTCACATGAGTTCTGGAAATCTTGACCTCGGCTTTATCATCTTGATAGGCCTTCAATGGTTTATCCATCAAATCTTTATCTTCTCTATCCCAACCCTCTCTCTCTGCTCTCTCTTCATGCTGCTTCACCCTCCAGAAGTTTATCATACCCATGGTCACATCCATGAGCTGCTTCCCATCAACCCAGAAACCCAACCTCTTCAGTGGGCCCAACACATCCCCAAAACAAACCTTTGCAGCCAACTCAAATGATTCTTTTACCAACTCCCTGATTTTTTCAGCTTCCTCACCATTCTCCGAACAACTAGTGCTCATAGCCATCCTGCTATTAAACAGGCACTTGTTAAAAATAGAAATATGGGAGAAAATTTCAAGGATCATATCAAATTAATTGTAGAGCATGCCTGCATATACTGTTGTTTGTAAGACTCATCAGCTCAGCATCCACATCAACCATCTCTTTCCTCGTAGCACTCTCCAACATTTTCCTCAAAAACTCTGCAACCTCTGCATGTCGATTGGCACGTGACCTTTCTATTTTGCAAGAGGAACATCACTCACATGTATGTAACCCTTGGATAGTTACATATTAAATTAATAAGAAAGCTGAATTTTCAGCTTAAATCCAATTTGGATGCAGAACCATTTTTGTCAAGCCTTCCAATGTTGGCGGAGATTGGTGTCAATTTTATAACCCATTTTATAAGCCTTCCTATTTTCATTGACTCTTGTAATTTTGAATGTTTGCTTTTATTTATTGTTCCATTATTTGATCTCATTTATGTTATTGCTGATGCAAGTGCCCACAACTAAGTTGGTTGGTTATCGTACAAATAAAAAATCCATGTTGTCCTTTCAAATCTTATAAATTCTTATGATATAAATCTTTAAAATCCAAACATAAAAAATTCTGAATATAAAAAATCTTTCAAAAAAATCTTATAAGTCATTATATTCTTAAATAGTCTTTTAAAATCCACTGGACTTATTTATCCATAAATAGTCTTTTAAAATCTCAATTGAATACACCCCCCTAAGAATTATGGTTTGATTGAATATGAATATGAATATGAAAATGAAATATTTGCTGCTTCTGTTGGCAATTTTCAGATCAAATTTGCTCACTACTAAAGGCATATACATAAAATGCAATTTCCATCATTCGGGAAGAATAAATTTGTACCAGTAATGACACATGAGACACATGAGACACATGATAATCTATAAAGAGATGCCTCTTCAATCCAATGTGCGAACTGTAGTCACTTTGGCGAAGCCCTATTCTCATATAATCACTTTACAAACTTTAATCTGATATAGGGTTCGTTTGGGAGTGATTCTGAGAGGGCCAAAATCACTTCCTATTTAGTATAATCGCTTTTGCTTAAAAAATATGGTGTTTGGCAAAAATTTAAAAGCGCTTAAAATATGTATTAAAATCACTTAAAGTGATTTTAGGGAGAAGCACATGGGAGGTGCTTCTCCCAGGAAGTGGTTTTTTTAAAAAAACCGGGAATCACTTGATTCCAATTAATGAAACTTTTTTAATACCAATACTATCCCTATTATTTTTACAATATGGCCAAAAAGCCTAACCCTACAATTTTTAAGCAATCCACACGTTTCATCCACCCTAGTTATCACGTCTTTGTCTCTGCCTCTATTCTTTCTCTGCAAAGGCTTCCCCCCTCTCTCGCTCAAACTCTGCAAGGCTATCATTCTTCAAGGTAAATCCTCTCTGTTCTCACTATATATGTTTATGCACTTCTATATTTATCTTGATATTTTTTATTTTAACTTTTCTCTTTTATCAGATAGTACTATGAAATTCTCATGCTTCTTGATTCACATATTATATCACTAATAGTTATTAGTAAAAATATTATCAGAATCAGAAATTGAATTTATGTGTGAGAGAGTGAGAGAGAGAGAGAGAGAGAGATGGGTAAAAGCTTGCGTATATGTCGATGCTATTATAAACACTTTCTTTTGCAATAACAGAAGGATATAGAAAGAGCTGTTTCCTATTGCAATTTGTTTAATTTGCAATCTGTTTCCTATTTGCAATCTGTTTGGAGCTCCCTTCCCCACATCATCAGACATAAGAATATGAAGATGAACGTGTAAGGCAATCTTCATTCCACATTGATGTCAATGCCATGTGGCTGTCTTTTAGAAATTAAGAGAGGGAGAGAGACACGTATAGACACATACCAGAACTATTGGTTTATGTATTAATGCTTAGTTTCAATTTGTTGTTCTGTCTGAGAACTTTTGGTTTATGTATTAATGCAAACGTGCTACTGTTTGTTTTTGTTTCTGTTTGATACTAGCTTCTGTTTGTTTTTGTTTTTTTTTCTTTTGTTTGTGCTTTGTCTTATATACTTGTATGTTGAGCAAAACTTCTTGTTATACTGTACAATCATCATTAATTTTTGTTCTTTGTCCAATTTGTTTATTAGAAAATGTCTAACAATATAGTGAACTCATCCCAAAATGAAAGTCGGGAAGAAAAAGAAAAACAAGAGAAAGCAAAATGGGATGACAAGGGAACTGAGGTTTTTATCAAGATTTGTGTTGCTGAGACGTTAGGTGGTAATCGACCAAGTAGTCATTTTAATAAGGTTGGATGGAAAAATGTTATAAAGAAGTTTAATGATATTACTAAAAGGAACTACGACTATAGACAATTGAAGAACAAATGGACTGGACTTAAGAAAGAATGGCAGTTATGGACAAGTTTGGTTGCAAAAGAGACTGGCTTAGGATGGGATCCTGTGAAGCAAACAATCAAAGCTACCGATGAATGGTGGGATAAGAAAATAAAGGTGAAATTTTTATTTCCTAAAGCTAATACTTAATTTGTAGTATTATATCAATTTTTAAAAATTTTAGTTCATATTATTACTGTAGGAGAAACCTGAGGTTGCAAGATTTCGAACACATGGATTGAGGGTGCTGCTCACGATGCACGTATATTTATGGAGGCCTTAAGAATACCGACACTGAAATTTCCACATCCACCTACTGGTTAGTAATCAAAATGTCATCAAGTTCAATATTTTCCTTTACTATTTCGCCTTGGATATGTTTCTTATATCAAATATGGCTAATAATACTAATATTGTTATTGATTCACATGTATAGGTAAATATTATCTGGTTGATGCTGGCTATCCACAAATGAAAGGATATTTAGGCCCTTATAGGGGTGAGCGATATCATCTTCCGGATTTCCGACGAGGAAGCCAACCAAGAGGGAAAAAAGAAATCTTCAATCACAGACATTCATCTCTAAGATGCACAATTGAAAGAACATTTGGTGTTTGGAAAAACCGATGGAGAATGGTACGTCAAATTCATAATTTTCCTTTGGAAAAACAAGTACAAGTCGTTATCGCTTCAATGGCTCTCCATAACTTCATAAGAATTCATTCAATGATGGATGTAGAGTTCCAACCATATGATGATGATGAAGAGTTACTTCCCCAAACAGATGATGGAATGACTAGTATGGAAGAGACTATTGTACAAGAAAATGTAACCCGTGCACGAGAGATGGATGACGAACGCGAGACAATTGCAAATCTTCTTATGTCTATTTGATATTTGTGTCGATTAACAATATATCTTCTCATCCCAAAAAATATTTATTCATGTTTTTTTTTCAAGAAGTATGATTTGAAGCTATAAATTTTCAATTTTCGTTTAAGAATGCCCAAGATATAATATTATGTGATTGGGGTTATCAATTTAAAAATGTTTGATTATAAAAATACCAAAAAAAGGCAACAAAAAAAAACTCTTTTTCTTTGGGAAGCCAAACGCTACGAATAACATCAAAATCACTTTTTTACAATATGAAAGCACTTCTATGTTGGTAGCCAAACGATGAACTGATTTTGCGCAAAAGTGCTACTAACATAAAGTGATTATGTTAAAATCACTAATGAGTAAAATCGCTTCTACATAATCACTCCCAAACGAGCCCTTAATCAATCCCTGCACTTTATTGCCCACTGATTGCCCTCACTTTTCTCTCTCTCCCGCAGCTCTCTTCCTCTCTCAGCGCTTTCTCTCTACATCGTCGCTCCAGAACCACCACCACTCCCTTTTTCCCTCTGTCGCGAAAACCTAAGCATCACTCTCTCTCTCTCTCTCTCTCTCTCTCTCTCTCTGCAGTCGATGTTAGGGTTTGTTGAGCGGGTTCTTGAAGGCCAATCTCTGCGTCCCTCAGCTGCCCGGCCAAGGCTGTTCCTTCCACAGCTTCCTCACCAATACCTACAAGCTTACTTTCATGGAATCTCCTTCTGGCATTAAGGTAGCGTTTTCAGTTTTCTACGTCTCTTTTTTTTTTAATTTTTACTTTCAGATCTTGAAATTAAGAATTATGGTTTGATTGAATATGAATATGAAATATTTGCTGCTTCTGTTGGCAATTTTCTAGTATTACATCTAGCGATTTAGGATCGGAAAGAAAGGCCTCTCCTCTCACTCAATTACATTCTTGGACTTGAATTTGTGCTTAGCTTAGAAATTTGGACATGTGTGGTTGTGTATACCAAATTGTCATACAATTAGATTCATTCTTAATGTGCTGCTGCTTTCTTACTCTTTGTTTTGTGTTTGTGCGTGCAGATTATCTTGGTTACTCATCCTGCAATCAGGTAACTGGTTCAGTTTCGATTATCGTGATGTAGTAAATGATCAATCTTCATAGTAACAAGTTTCATCTCCAATCAGGTAACTTGTTATTGTTAGTATTTTGTGAACTCTGTTAGAACCTGCCTACTTTTCTTTTTCTTTTCTATTGAATTAGTTTACTGGTGGCTTATCCATCTTTGAGTATAGTTAAATATGTAGTGAGTGGAGATATAGAAGGGTGTAGGACGTGGAAGGGTTTGAGACCGGGGGTAGTATTCAAGAGGCTACCTGCTCTGTCGCTCAAGATCTCAACCAATTGCAACTTAATACCTCAGGTTCG